TTTTATCTTATACTATTAATGAATTTATAGCTTGGATGTATCAAAGAATTAATATTTATTGGGATGACCTTGAAGTTAAATGTATTCATGTTAATGTACCACAACAACCATCTAATTGGGAATGTGGAGAATATTTATTATATTTTGTTAGAATATTTCTTCAATACAAACCAAAAACTATTAAAGAATTTTGTTCTTTCTTATTTACTGAAGACCCAACAAAAGAAAGGGATTTAATACAAAGTGCGGCAATTGAAATGGGATTTCATTAATTTAAATAAAATCAAAAATAGAAAAAATATTTTTTTTAAATAGTAAATTAAATTCTAATTAAGTAATGAAGAGAAAATAAGGATTAAAAATGAATTTCAATTGGACTTAATTTCAAAGAAACAAGTTATTTCTTTGAGGAAAATTAATAAATTTCTATCGTCTTTTTTTTTAAAATAAAAGAAAAAAAAGAACTCAAAAAGGATTAAAGAAACTTGAAATCATAAGTTGAATATGTCATTAGTAGAACAAGTTGAAAGAAAAGTTTATGAAATTAGAAGTTCATATAAATTTGCAGAAAAATCAATTGATACAGATTTTAAAGAAATTCATAAAAAGACAAAGTTACATTATAAACTTTTAATTCAAACTCTTCTTATGCTTCGTCATTACAATGAAAGTCAAAAAAAAATGTTAAATACAAAAGTTAAATTATCAAATGCTTTAATAGAAATTTCAAAAGAAGATATTCAATTAAATAGTATTGCAACAAAGTATATGACAACATGTGAGTGTTTAGAATTAGGACTAACAACATGTTTAACATCAATTGAAGACGATATATTTTTACCATTAAAAGAATATAGTCAACAATACAAAGTTATTGAAGAAAGAATTGTTGAATTAAAAAAAAGACAAATTGATATGGACCATGCTCATAATAGTTATGGAACAAATGTTTTAAAAAATAAGCCACAACAAATTATTACAAATACTAAAACTAAATATGAACAAGCAAGAGATTTTTATTTTTATTTAAGAAATGAAATTATTGATGATATGAAAAAATTAAATAATAATTATATTAAAATAGTTGAACCTTTCTTTGTTAAATTATTTCAAAATGATATTTTAATTAGAGACATTTACAATGAATCTCTTGAAAGTATTGAAAAACTTCTTCCTTCTTTTAAAGAACAAATTGTTGATGTTAAATGGCTTATTACTCAAGATAATGATAGTTTTATTCATCCTCAAAATATTTATACTCAAAGAAAAGAAGATATTACAAATGGTGGATATAATATGAAAGCAAATAATATGATTGTTGAAAATGCACCTATCGACCCTGACTATATAACTGATATTCCAATGATGCCTCCTGAAGAAATTACTCAACCAACAGATCCTCAGCAACCATCACTTACACCTTTAAGTTTGTAATTTTTATTATTTTCATTTGTCAATGATTATAATTAATTAGGTGTAATGGAATTATTACCAAATAATAATGATAAATTAATTAAAGAACCTCAATCACAACCTCAAAAATATAAAGTTTTATATGACTATGAAACTACTGAAGAAGATGAAATCTCTTTAAAAAAAGATGATATAGTCCTTGTACATCGAAAAGATGGAGATTGGTGGGAGGGTGAAGTAAATGGACTGTATGGATTAGTACCATCAAATTTCCTTGTGCTTTTGGAATAACATTTAAACATTAATAACAAAGTAATATTTAATTTAAGTTTTTTTTTATTTCATTTTGTGGTCTACGCTGTGGAACATTTAAATTTTTTAATATTTCTATTTGTGAACGTTGTGTTTGAATTGGATAACTAACTGTTTGTGGTATAGGTTGTGAAGTGGTAAGTGTTTGTGGTATAGGTTGTGAAGTGGTAAGTGTTTGTGGTATTTGTGTTGTACTGTATGTTAAAGGAATATAACAAGGAGTAGAAGTCATCATTGGAGTTGAATAAATATTATATCCTGTTGAAAATAACATTGAAGATGTAAGTGGTTGATTTGAAGTGCAAGACGATGTTATTGAATGTTGTTGAAACTCATTTAAATCTTTTTTTTGAGAACGAAGTAATAACGGTTCTTTCTTTTGTTTTGGTTTTTTATTTGCTTCTTGTTGTTTTGTAAATTGTTCAAGAATACAAGCGTCACATACTTTTCTTGGTGTACCACCTGCAACTAAAGCAATTTTTGTTGTTGCGCACGTATTACAAACTTTTTTATTACACTTGGCACAGACAATAAATCCAGGTGACGAATATGAAGCAAGTCTATTCAAAGATTTCCTACAACAAGGACATTCATCTTCTGTTGATTTCTTTTCTTTTAATCTCTTTACTTGAATTGGGACTAATTCAGTAATTTTATCATGGAACAATTGTCCATCTTTCTCGTTAAGAAAAACTAATTTAATATCTCCATCTTCGTTTGTAGATAATTCAAATTCTGTTCTTTCACCAGTATGACGTTTAATATGTCCAATAATCATTACGTATTCTACATTAATTCTTTTATTGACTATTTTACCAAATATTAACATATCAGTAACAAAAATTAATGTTAATTTAGTTAACTTCTCTTCCCAAGTAAGAATAACATTAGTTTCCATTATAAATTCCCTTCCAGGACAAACAAATTTTGGTTGAAGACTTTTTGGAAGACAACTTTGTATTTCAAGTAATTTCCTTCTTCTTTCTTCATCAGCAATAGACTCATTAATTGAAATTCCAAGGATTTTAATTTGTTCTAATGCCGTAACTAATGTAGATTTTCCTAGTGTTTCATCAGGCGTATTTTTTAGTAAGTCTTGAAGAAGTAAACGATATCGAGGGACTCTTTGAACTGGCATAATAAGAAAAGAATTTAAATCTAATTTCATTGTATCAGGACCTTGAATTGATTGTCTTAATGTTTCAAGATATCTTGCATACTTTTCTTTCTTATACAATCTATCAGCAATATTTAATGCATAGGCATTATTAGCAACATATAAATTATATCCTTTTAAATATGATTGCATTTTAATAAAAATATTTCCAATTTCTGACTCAAAGCAATTAGACTTTTTTGACTCATCAAATAGTCTTATTAATTCTTGCGAAATTGTAATGATAGTATCTAAATATTTAAACATTTCACTAGTTTTTTCTAATGGTATAATAAGAGGTACATGACTAACCATATCCTCAAAATAAACTGTTTGACAAATTTTTAAAAAGTTTAAATATGAAACTTCAGTATTATAAATTTCATCTAATATCCTTTGACGTTTATTCAATTCCATAGCTATATGTTATTTAAAATTACTTTTTTTTAGTTCTTTTTAGATTCACTTAAAGAATATCAAATAATTTTGTCATTCTTTGAGTTTTTTTTTTCTCAAGTTGAATAAGAATAACTTATTTTCTCATTTTATGTTTACTCAACTAGAAGGGGGATATATTGGTGTTATCCAAAAATATCCATACGTTGATGGAGATGATCGGCTATGGTTAAGACTAGGAAAAGAGTATACTATCAGTAAAGAGAAATCATCAAATGTTATTGTGAATATAAAATCAAAATGGGAACTTATTGCCTTCAGCCAAAATGCTATTATTTCGTTTGTATTTTTTTTATTACTCTTTTTTACATAGTACAATAAAACTAAATAAGTCTAACAAATTAAGTGGTAATGGATTAGTTATAGTTAATGGAAAAGAATATAATGGATTAGCTGAATTAAATGATAATGACGTATTCAAATTAGAAGACATTTCTTTTCAATTCTCAATGAAAGTTCATTCATTAACTGTTCCACAGATTGTTTGTTAAAGTTTTAACGTTATTCTTAAAAAGAAAGTATTTTATCTATACAAGACATTTTACCTTTAATTTAGCAATATCCTGATTTATTATTATTTGAATTACAAAGAAAGTATCCTTCTGAAACTTGGCTTGAACAAATTAACCCAAACGATTTATTAAATTCAATAAATAATAATATACCAAAGTTAGTTTGTTTTTTATTCATCACTATTTTCTTAAAACATATTGTTATTAATTTTAAATAGTCAACTCAATCAACTCAAATCATTCAACATCTTTTAAATGATATTTTTATCACTCATATTGATTATAATCAACTTAAACAATTAAAAGATGATTATGAAATTCAAAAAATAAAGAAAATAGATTCTTTTACTTTACTTAATCCTATCCATTCTGATTCTGAACATCAACAATCTGAAAAACTTCTATCAGTTTCAGAAATAAACCAATTACAGGCAAATCCTCTTTCATCTGATTCATCAAAATCAAAAGAAACAACTAAATCTTTCTTTCAAAAAAAACCAAAACATTCTAAAAACCTTAAACACCATCATAAGGATAAGAAAATTCAATTTAACCCTATTTTTAAATCTTCTCCAAAGCATTTCTCTCAATTATCTTCTTCAACATCTAGTTCTATTTCAAAACCAATAGAAATACAATCAGATTCTAAAGAAAAAAATGATCCTGAATTACCTAAACCTCGGAAGTTAGTTCGTAGTTTTGAATTATCAAAAAGGGTTATTGAACAAAATGAAATCCCTCAACTCCAAACTCCATTTGAAGAAGATGATATTGATCTCTCTGCTGTATTACAATTGCTTGACTCTGGTTCTCAAAAACAACCAGAGAAGTAGTTATTTGATACATATCCATTATAAATCCTTTTATACTGTTCTCTTTAATACACTAAATTTCCATATTTCTTTTTAATATATTATCTATAATTTATTTTTACTCAAACAAGATTCTTTTACAACAAGATTCAAATTTTTATAACTTTTTAAACATCCTTTAAACTCTTATTGAATCATAACATAATCCATTTTATCACTGCTAACTCATATAATCTTCTTTAAGTAGGCATCACAGTTAATACTTCTTGATTACTTTGAATTAATTTACGAAAAAATATTGTTATAAAAATATCTTAGTATTTGCAATAAATGTTGATGATAATATAATAATAACTTTTCTCAAGAAACTACTGATATAACTTAAATACACTTGGAACTCTTTTATACAAAAATAATTCTATTATTCTTGTTTTTATACCTTGAAGTATAAATAGATTATATATCAAGAAAATTATTATTGTCTTTGTATTAACAAAAGATAACAACATATTCATATTCTAAACTATAAATCAAGTATAGAACAATAAGAACCCTATAAACATTATTCAGCTAGAGTAAGGCATGTAGATAAAATTAGTTATGTACAATAAATCCATATAACCAAATAAATGCACAAACGTATTAATTGTATAGTAAATTTAAACTATTGTAATTGAATTTATGTAATAACCAGGAAGCAAAAAAGAAACTAAGGCGAATAAAATGAATAAGAAACAAAAAGAATTTTTTTTTAAACTCAACTAAATGACAACCAGAATATGAATTTTACAGAAGAATGTAATGACAATAGTGTCATAGATGAATTAAAACAAGCCATTGAGAAAATGAAAAAAATTGAACAAATTGAACAAACATATGGAATTTTTGACTCTGTAAATGACAGCCCATACAAAGAATCTCCTGATTTACGTATTGAGTTTATTAGCTCGAGTGATTCAGAAAATCAAGACTATAAAAGAATATCTGTAATGGATTTAACTACAAAATAATTTTCATTAACTTATATTTAAAACACTTGTAACAAAAAATTAATTAATATTATTTATTATATTTTACAATTTAAAATAGACTAAAAAGATGTTAATAATTAAATTAAAAATTACTTAGCAATTCCTCCTTTTTTCATTGGCATAAACTTTTTCTTTTCTTCGAGCTCTCTTTGCATCCACCACATTAATCCTTGTCCAGCAGCTGCTGCTGCCTTTTGTTGATTCAAATATTCTTCAGCCTCTTCCATTTTCTTTTTCATTTCTTCAGCAGCAGTTTCAGCTTCAACACGAGCTTTTTCAGATTTCTTTTTAGCAGCTTCACAGGTGATCTTAGCTTTTCTCAATGGCAATGGATCAGATTCAATGTGTTGAGCAAGTTCAGCTTGTGCTCTATTCTTTTTAACAACACCAGTTTCTTTTTCGATTTGTGCCTTTAATTGTTCAGTTTTCTTATTAAATTCATCTTCTTCTTTTTTCAATGCATTAAGAGCGGTCTCAAGTTCTTTGTCTCTTTTAGTGGCTTCATCTGCTTTTTTTACTGCTTCATTAAGTAAGACAGAAACTTGATCAACCATTTCTTGTGCTTTTTGCATTTCTGCTGATTGAGCACCTTGAGGAGCATTAATTAACTTCTTTAATGGCATTTTGTAATGCCATGCTAAGAATACACAAAGAGCAAATAATTTTTTAAATTCAAATTGTTGATTTCTTAATGACTCTCTAAATTGTTGGATTGTTTGGTGTTCATTATAATGTTCAAGAATTCTATGAATATTTAGTTCATCAAGAGAGCATCCATCTGCATGATTTTCTGGGTCAAATTCACCAAATTTATTACAATAATCCCAAACATTTTCAGCTTCAGCTTCTCCATTTTCTAACCAATAAGCATTCAAAAACCAAATAGCTTGTTCTTTATATTTTTTGTTACAAAGTTCTTGTAATTTAGTTTTTTCAATATCGTTTAAAGACATACTTTTCTTTAAAACTACTTCCTTTTTAGATCTCTTTAAATAATGGAAAAGTCTTTAGAGGTCAATAAAGGTAATTTTATTAGTTCTTTTAAGTTCTGGAGGTAAATGAAAATAATAAAAAAATTACTTAAATAAAATTGTGTTTTCATTATTAAAAAATAAATTTAACTAAAATAAAAGAAAATCAATGAGATCGTCCAAATGCTTTCGTTTTTCCATCACTAAATTCTTCTCCAAAGAAACCAGTCTTAAATAGATAGGTGATAGAGTTATCTAAAGATTGTTGTGTCTCTGAAAGGTCAAGAGATTGCTCTTTAACCCATTCGTATTCAATGTCTAATGATCCACTCATTTGCATAGATGGAAGTAATGACAACACTTCTTTATTTCCACTCTGTGCTAATGAAATAAGTTGTTCTTTAATTTCGTTCATTGGTTTATGTTCAATAGTTTTATTCATTTGTTTAGCAACAAGGTCACAGACATAACTAATATCAGCTGGATGTAGTGGCATTAAATTAGCTGCAATAGGAAGACTATTAACAGACTCAACGAATGCATTAGCAACTAAATCAACTGGGGTGAGAATCATTTTTTGCTCATTTGGAGAAAGTCCATTATTTACAAGTAAACGTACTAATTTCCAAATAAAGTCATCGGTATTAGAACAACCAGACACAGAATTGCCAGAAATAAAAGCTGGTCTTAAAATGCCAATTTTATATCCAAAGCTTCTTAGTTTATTTAAGTAAAGTTCGTTCATCCATTTAGTTTGAATATATCCATTTGCTTTAAATGGTAAAATAGTACTATCTGGTATTATTTCTTTACCTCCAACACAAGCAGCTACTCCAATAGATGATACATAAATAAATGGAACTTTAGCTTTGGTAACAAATTCTATAATATTTT